GGACTGATTTTTGGAATTTTATATTTTTTAATCTTGAATGATTTTCGATCTACCAGCCCATTTTAAACGGAACAACTATTAAAATCTTCGTCTCAATGGGATGGTACTTGTTCCGTATAAAACGGACTGGTAGATCAAAAATCATTCAATATTAAAAGAATATAAAATCCCAAAATTCAGCATATGTTCAAATCTACATAGCTGATGCTGATTGCTGTACATCAGATTTTAAACCAAATGCACGCCTGTCGATCAAGCGTTACTGTATTTCCAAATGTTGACATTCTATAACAAACTTTCGCAAGATTTTACCAAACTTCTTGAAAGTGAATATAATTATGATACAATTATTGAAGTTGGTGAACAGCCAGATACTCAACTTTTCAAAGTACATTCTGCAATCTTATACCAACGCTCTTCTTACTTTAAACAAAAATTAACAAAAATTAAAGGAAATAATATCTTTAATATTAAATTACCCGATATTTCTGTTAAAACATTTTAATATTGTCATTAAGTAAGTTATTTAAATTTGTAATCATTATATAAAAGCTTTATTATAAGTAAATAAAATTAATAGTTTCACATTTTATATATATTGTAGATATATTTATGGTGTAGTTTCTTTAGAAAATCTTGAAACTTCCGGTATACTTGATCTCTTAATCGCTTTCAATGAATTTGACTTTTCAGAATCTGTTGATTGTCTTCAAACCCGCCTTATTGAAGATAATGCTTCTTGGCTTCGATTGAATTTTTCTCGTGTTTATCAAATTAGTTTTCAAAATCAAAATTTTAAAACTTTGCAACAATTTTGTAACGACATTATTATAAAACACCCAAATTTGGTTTTTGATTCCGATGATTTTACCACAATTCAAGAGAATGCTTTGATTTCTCTCTTAAAACATGACGACTTACAATTGGATGAATCTGTAATTTGGGATAAAGTTATTTTGTGGGGAAAAGCGAATACACCAAATTTACCTTCTAATTATGAGCAATGGAATAAGGAAAATTTCAAATCTTTAAAAATTACTCTTCAAAATTGTTTACCTCATATTAGGTATTTTCAAATTCCTGGTGATGAAGTTTTAAAAAAAGTACGACCTTATAAAAAAATTCTTGAAGAAATTTTGTGGGATGATATTATGGCAAAATTTGCGTCTCCAAATGATCCTATTACTTCTACAATTTTGCCTCCTCGCAAAAAACTGACAAATCAACTTCCTCCTCGAAATTTAATATTTACACCTTCATCCATAATCAATTTAGAGCATGTAGCAGAAATTTCCTCTTGGATTGATCGACGTTCAACAACTTATGATACTACAGAAATTCCACATGAGTTCAAACTGTTACTTAGAGGTAGTAAAGATGGATTCGGAGCCAAAAAATTTCATGAATTATGTGGCAATATACCTGGCCTAATAGTTGTTATAAAGGTGGAAAATTCAAATGAAATACTTGGTGGATATAATCCTCTTGGATGGGAATCTACAAATAATGGATATACAAAGGCACCTGGTAGCTTTATTTTTTCTTTAAAAAATGAGAATATGAAAGAATCTATTCTTAGTCGTGTAAATGATCAATCAGAAGCAATTTATTATGGTCTAGATTGTGGTCCATGGTTTCATTATTTTGGACTTTATGATCTCTATGGTCTTAAAACATGTTCTTATACTAGTGTTGGCAATTATTATCAACCGCCAATCAGAAACGCTGCGGATGGTAAATTTTCAATAGATGATTATGAAGTGTTTCAAATATGTAAAAATGCATAAATTCTATTACAAATAAAATTGTTATTACAACTATTATAGATAAAAACGTATTATGACTAGGTTAATTGAAGCAATTAAAAATACGAGGTCAGATTACATTTATAGTCCTATACAATGATAATCAAAATTTTATTTAATCACTTGCTTGGCACAAAATAGTAACTGTAATTTTTAATATCTTGTTACAAATAAAGCCCTATACCCTCATTCATTAATCAATTGTAGCCTGTTTTTACTTTTATATTGTGGCGAAAGATTGAATTTTATTCCAAAGCAATACTAAAAAAACCCAGTAATCCATGCATAAAATTATCATGTTTTAAATTTAAATACACTTTGTATTCCCGGTTTTAAAATAATTACAGGCTTAATTAGCACGATAAAATTTCAAAATTACGGTACATTAGGCATTATATATGTTGTGCCTTAGATTGCTTCTTGACTCAAATGATAACCGAGACACTTCAGATGTCAATCGTCAAATTAGGTGCGTAATCTATTGATCAGTTATTCGAGGTACCTGAGCACCTAAGTTATCACTTGAGACAACAACAATTATTATTTATACGTACGCATGTAGCAAAATTACCAATTTTAATAAAATGAAATAACTATTTTTCAAAGACATTTATGTTATTTCGGTTCGATTTGTGTGGTTTTTTTTTTATTTTTGAAGAAGTATATTCTTTTTTGTTTCTTCATAACCTTTAGTATGTAATATTGTTATTCAAATTTAAAGAGCTATCTGTATGTTTTTTTTATAATATTTTTCAAAATTTTTATGGTTCAAAATAATAACTTATCAAAGTTTTTAATTAAATATGTGAAATAATGACTTTATAAATAAATTTCAAGGATCATATCTAGTAAAATTAAAAGCATTTCAACACTAAAAAAATAAAATGAAAATAATCGTAATGCTCACTCTAATTTAACCAACAAAAGTATTACTTTAAAGATAAATCTTATAAACTTTGTTAACTCTACATATTTCGAAAGTAATATAATAAAATCTGTATATATTCATCAATACTATGTCTAGCGATGGGAAAAAGCGCATGATATCGCATGATAAATAAAAGGCAAAAAAAAGAAAAAACGATCGAGAGAAGAGAAATCTTGATGGGATAAAATGCGCATGAAACCCATCTATTTCATGTCTTAGATCGGATGACAAATCAATAGGCTACGCACCTTATCTAACAATTGATATATGAGTTGCCTCAGTTATCACCTAAGGTAAGAATCGATCTAAGGCACAATATATCATGACTTTTAGGGTGTTAGGTTTAAAATATTTATGGTATTGGGGACGGTTCTACCACAAAATCCCAACATTCAAAATCTCGACAGGCAATAATACTGACATATGTGATGTGACAATTAATATTTAAAGTCTAACAATAATTGTTAATGTAATTATTAATCTTTAAATATTAATTGCCAAGTCGGGATTATGGTTTCGAGGTTTTGGATGTCGGGATTTTGTAGTAGAACTAGAGATGTGCCACGTACAGTACTATACGCTGTGACGGGTTATATGGGCAAGTTCAGAGATGGGGCCAATGCGATGGATTGTTGCTAGAAAAATGATTATGCCGCGTAACGTTCCTCAAGGATTATAGAGGCGGTTTTTCGATTTGGGACTGGTCGAGGCGATCGAAGAGGAGCGTTACAAGATGAGTATTACGATTTTAAAGGAGCGTTTATTTATTTTATAAGTTAAAAAAGGTTTTATTAACTTTATTAATATTTTGTAGGTGTAATACAATTATATTATTAGGGGCGGTTCTGAATTATTCTTGGATGATATTCTTGTACTTTGATACTAGATCCTTGACTGAGTTCTTGGAGGGTTAGATTCCATTCCTTTTTATAATGAATTGAACGCGAGAAGAGCCCGCAAGACCATGACTCTTCTCATTATTCCCAACACTTCCCAACCTTATTTGTTATAATCTTTAACCTCTTCTACACAGCCTTTTGTTATTTTAACATTTCTCTCAGTTTTCATAGAACTGATGAGAAATGTTTCAGTTTCACGATCCCAGGGCCAGAACCCATCATATTGTCTTTAATCACACCCTTCTTGACATCACTTCACACTTAACTCAAGTAAGGTAGGTGGAGTCAACGTCCATTCCCAGCACAACAGGTTGGTCCAGGTCGACCTTACTTTAATTGAGAGTGGTTTGGTTCCACATAGAGACTTGTGTACTTTCATATGGCTTCTTTGGGGTTGGGCATACATGTTTCAAATGGATCGTTATGGGCACCTCTAATTAGGTAAGTATGCCACAATGATGTCCATTTCGCAGGTTCTATGAGGTGTCAGTTTTGCCTCTGACAATGTGAAAATTTTGCCAATCCTTTATATCAGCCAATCGAATCACTAGATACATACTGTATGCGAAAAAATTTGGATATCATATAAATGGTAAAACGATTGGGAACTAGATAGCTGCATGACACTGTCATGCAAAACCAGGAACAGAACTTTCTGTATTTGCCTAATTGCACAAGAAATAATGTTTTTTTTGCAAAATTTATTTTATACTGATTTGTTATTAATCACAATTTCCAAGTAATGAGCAAAATTGTTCTAGTTCCATTCATTTCATCAATAATCAATTGACCAACAGTATGATTCATTGATAATCTTTTGTCAACAAGTTCATTCACTGACAATATGATTCATTGACAGTTATCTTGCTGACAAAGTAATTCTGTCATTGACTTTAGGATCAGGTTGGAATTAGAGTTAAGGTTAATGTAATTTATAAAACAAACTTTGTTGGTGAAACATACTGTTGGTGAATTGTATTGTCAGTAAATGAATTTGTTAATGAATCATACTGTTGGTGAAATGAATTGGATCCTGTTATTCAATATGCAAATTGTTGTAATATCTTTTTTTTTAAAAAAAAATACTGAAGTTAATATTGTTGCATACCAAGAGAATTTTTGATAATACTACATTCATTAATGATACAGTGCTATAACAGTATTGGTATCTCTTTAAAATTCAATTTATCAAAAATACAAGCTTACTATTCAATAAAAATTTATAAAAACACAATGAAAAAATATATAGGAATCAGTTTGTTGACATTACAGACACCGCATCTCATTACATTCCTAAAGAGAACACTTCTTCTCAAATTAATCATCATGAATCCAAATTCTATTATATTATGTCTATGAAACCTCTAATCAATCTATAATTTCTAGAATATATGAAAACAGGTCATCAAATATGACTATTGCAGTTTCAAAGATCTGATAAAAGTCTTTGTCTGCTACTATTGCTGTGAAACCTAATTACCACCAAACAAGATTCTTGTGACAGTAGGGTCTGATGTTACTTGTCATTACTATTCAACTAATTAAACCAATTGCTAAGCATTACCTAATTGCTGAGTTACAGCAAGATGGATGGGAACAGGAGAAATTATAGAACCAGCCCTCTTATGAAGTAAATGATAACAAAGAGAAAGATACCCTCCTCTAAATATACTGATCTGCAAAAATACTTCATTACGTATACATATTAGTATTTGATTAAACATTAAAGTAGAACAGAAAATTTCTTTAGAAATCAATATATGGTAATAATAATGTAATCTAAATGCATTCATGGTTACTGTATTTTTTAAAAACTGGTTATGCGCTGTTCTCATTCAAGAGAAGAACCAGACATTCTCAAATGTCGATCAAAAGATTATTGTATTGGAACATTAAATTTAGACAATTAAATCCGGGTAACGAAGTTGCATGTGAAAACTCAAATCTCACGCCCTTACACAATGCTACACAAAGTTGATTTTTCGTTTGCATTACATGGAATCGAAAATTGGGTCGGTCGGTTAGATTTTTTTTTTTTTAAAAAAAAAAATTTGGTCGGTGTGTAATGTAAAACGAAAAATCAACTTTGCGTGGCCTAATATTCAATCAATTACAAGATTTTGTGGAGTAACATCATTAAATTGCCATATATCATTCCGTTCCTGGTATATGTCTTTATTATCATCAGTCATGGTATTTGTAATCGCATCTCTGCAATTAATTTTTTATGATCTTAGTACGTGAAAATTAAATGATGCATGACAAATAGGGTCACGCAGACCAATCAGATATACGATTTTGCAGTAACATCATTTAAATTGCCGTATAACTATATACTTCGTGATATTTATCACTCATAGGCAGAAGTTTGTCTGATTTGCTAATGAATTTAATTTAATTTTACATTATTTATACAGTTTAGGGTACTTTTTTAAAAAAACGAAAACCAACCATAATAAAGTAAAAAAAAACATATAGAAGGTTTCTTTAGAGCTGTAGGACTCCATAGCCAAAAATAAGATCTAATTCTCGTCCGTTTAAAAAAGTTAGTATAGCAATAACTTCTCAAAACCCGATAAAATCAACTTATTACAAAGCTAATTTTTTTAAACGGACGAGAATTAGATCTTATATTTGACTATGGAGTCCTACAACTCTAATGAACCTTCTATATGTTGTTTTTTTACTTTATTATGGTTGGTTTTCGTTTTTTTAAAAAGTACTCTAAAACTGTATAAATAATGTAAAATTAAATTGAATTTATTAGCCAATCAGACGAACTTCTGTCTATGATTGTAGCTTAGTCTCTTAGTATAGCTCGGAGATCGGACAGGCCCTTATTTGTAATAATTTTTGATTTTGGACCGTTATATGTAAGAAATTTTATTTTGGGCCCTCACCTGTAATTATTTTCATTTTTGGGCCTTTATATGTAAATTCCCCTAAAAAAAATATATAGCAGATATATACCAATTCACCCAAGTCTATTAAAGAGCGAATATAATCAAAGGCCTCTGATACCTATAAGAAATAAAAACAAACGTTAGATTCATATCAAAAACTAATAGATAGTATGTAAACACATCGAAGATCAGATAGGTTGCCATTTTTTTAAAGCGAGCTCAGTAGAATTACAAAGGCATTTAATATATGTAGGTGTGGTTACTGCCTTCAATCTTATAGCATTTTACTACTACAAAAGCGAAATCCATTCACCATCTACATATTACCACAAGTTTTATCTACTTTAAATTGAAAATCATCATGTCCATTTTTCCAAAATTGTGATTTATTTCAAAAACACTTACACGTCGTTTTAACTCTTCACCAGTACCAAAGCTACGAAGTTGCATCACCCGCTCTTCATTTCCTTCATCAGTTAGTATATTATCCAAAGATCTCTCTTGAGACTTGACAAAATTTTCGATCTCTTCTTTACGATCACCTGCCCATTCCCTTTCCAAGACTCGTTTGTACAAACCAGAAAATATAGTTATAGCTGTAATTGGAGTATAGGAAACAAAGAAGGCTTCCATTTTTTTTTTAGGTTAAAAAGTTGAATAATGTGTAAGAATGGAAAAGATTCTTATAGACTGAAAATACTAATTAAGCGACAAATAACCATAACTTCGAAATACTGCCCTTTTTATGCGTTTTCCTCCATCTCTTCTCTGGACAAAAATCGAAACATGCGTTCTTACATCAGAGTTTCGACACGAAGCCAGGATTTCCATCGATGAGGACAAAGCATGAACTTTTATGGCAAAGAATTTCTATAGATTATACATTCATCATGAGTTATCTTGCTTTTTTCGGTTTGCGATTTTTGAAATTGGACCATCTCATCTATCTTATTACAGTATTATAAAATTCTTAGTTTTACGTGATGCGTAATGCTTAGATTACTCATATAAATAATTTTTTTCAAGTAAATTTCAAAACCTATCCATCATGCATATCAGTTTTAAAAGATTCAACAGTATTTTAATTTTGTTTCTATTTTCTTTTTTCTAAAATATAAACTTATAATTAATTATTTATACTTATATAAATGCCTAAAAGAAAAACCTATTAGAAACAAATACATTATAAAACACACCTATAGTGGTTTTGTACCTATTATATATTCTATTATGTTTTTTAAATTTTTGTAAGTTTTGAATATAAAAATATTTAACGCAAAATTTTTATATTAGTGTTAGCATTTAGGATTAGTTTTTAAAACATAAAGCATTTTTTACTTAGGACATCTTGCACTGATCAATTAGCCAGTTATTGAGGTACATATATACATAAGTGCAAAGCACCATAGGTGCGTTTTAATAAAAGTTAAAATATAAATAAAAATTAATACATAATAAATTTGAAAACAATAAAAAAAATTAAATACATAATAAATTTGAAAAAATAAAAAATAATAATAAAATAATAAATTTCTTATAACACTCAGGTATTAACAAATTTTATGTGATTTTGTTCAAAAATCATAAAGACATCATTTTCTCTATTTTAGTCATATTCATTTCAACACTTTAAATAAAATTACTATTTTCGGCTACTAAATTCATGCATAAAGTAAATATTAAAAATAAAAAATGCAATTTTTTGATAATTCTTTACTATAATGCATAATATTAATTTTTTCAAAAAAATCATTTACAATTACCACAAAACCAATCACTAGCATTAGGACCTGTTGCTTCACAATTAGGACAACTAAATGTACATCCAGTTCCACATGAATAATCACAAGTTTGATTTACATTATAATCTAGTGCATCCCAACAAGATCCCACACAGCTATTTTCAGCTGAACCGGGAGTAGTGAATGTACAAGATGTGACATTACAATCATGTACTAATCCATTTAGTGCCGTACATGAAACATGACAATTACGTTTACCAGAGCATGCGGAGGTGATAGGATATGCCAAATCAAATAAGGATGATAAAATTGCTGAAAAGAAAATCAGAAAAATTAACCGTTTATCCATTGATTAAAAATTAATATGTGAAATAATTAAATATACTGCAGTTATTTGCTAATTATTATCGTTAAAGATTTTAGAAATGCCAAATAACGATAATATTTATAATAAAATAGTTTAAATCACCCCACTATTATTATCGTAAAATTTGAAATCATACGACAAAGAATATTTTGAGATCTATTTAAATTCATACCACAAAAATATATTATCATAAAATTTGAGATGGCGCAGCAAAATTTTTTAAAGTTCATTAATGTTAGTGTTAGCGTGTAGAATACTGAATGGTTATATAGTAAAATTTTCTCAAGGAAAACTTTTTGTTAAAGCGCTAAAAGTGGTTTTTTATGCAGTTTTTGAGAAATAAGCTATCTTTGGTAAAACGAACGTTTGTTTTGAACTTTCTTGATCGTGTTATGTTACACCTGATCCTTGAAATATGATTTGTAGATCAGCGATCTGCGCCATAATGATCGACAAAACCTGGCACAGAATTTTTTTGTGCATTTGAATTCATACCACAAAAATATATTATCATAAAATTTGAAATCATACGACATAAAAACAACTTTTTGCCCTGATTTCTATTATTTCGCATAAAATTTGAAATCATACGACAAACTATTTTAAGATCTGTAATTTAATTTGTTTAATGCGTGCTTATCCAGCATGTTGGACATAAGGTCACTTCTAGTTGATTAGTTGGTTAACGTCGGTATTTTGGGCTTCAGGTGCGGGATTTAAACAGACACGTATATACCACTCATAGGCAGAAGTTCGTCTGATTGGCTAATAAATTCAATTTAATTTTACATTATTTATACAGTTTAGAGTACTTTTTAAAAAAACGAAAACCAACCACAATAATGTAAAAAAAAACTATATAGAATGTTTCATTAGGGCTGTAGGACTCCATAGTCAAAAATAAGATCTAATTCTCGTCCGTTTAAAAAATTAGCTTAGTAATAAGTTGATTTTATCGGGTTTTGAGAAGTTATTACTACACTAACTTTTTAAAATGGACGAGAATTAGATCTTATTTTTGGCTATGAAGTCCTACGTTTCTAATGGAAACCTTCTATACAGCTTTTTTTACTTCACTATAATTAGTTTTCGTTTGTTTAAAAAAGTACTCTAAATTGTATAAATAATGTAAAATTAAATTGACTATGAATATACCACAAAGTGTTTAATTAAATCAATTTAATCACATGATCATTAAAGATTTCCCAGCTGACATAGCGTCGCCTACGTAGGAAAAATGGTAGCCGGATAATTTTCCGGACACTATCTGAACCCGGATCTTTATTGCCGGTAGTATATGTATGTACGTATGACTGAAAGCTTTTCGAATTAGTACTTTTGGTACAGACTACATATCAAGTACAATAAAAAAAATACTAATACTAATTTATAGCGATAGTATTAAAAAAAACTTTTGGTTTTCGATTATATGATATGAGTGACGAAAAGGGAAAACCTGTAAATCATCTCACTCAATGAGTGAAATGATTTACAGGTTTTCCCTTTTCGTCACTCATATACAGTACATTTAACGAAAAAAAATTTAACTACTTAAATGTTGTAACCTTGCATTGTCATGCTAACACTATTTTGTGCTTGGTAAATGCAGATTTTATATATAATTATATAGAATATATTATCCAAACATTTATTTTTTATTCCCAATAGAGTGTGTTATTATTAAAGTCTTTTTACATTCGTGGCATAGTTCGATGGTTTTTTAATTTTATGATACCATCGTTCATTTTTTCTATTGGCAAGCCAAATCAGCTTTATATGTATTCTGTTTTTTATCATTACTTATCATTATATAACAATCTTTATTTTCAATAATTGGGTCTTGAATTCATTAAATATTTGAAACTCTAAAGTTAAAGAACTCTTGAATTGAAATATATTTACTAGTTCATCTTTATAAGTTGAAATTAAAAGATAATTTTTTTCATTTTTTTGTATTTGTTGTATAAAACTATATATGAGAGGGGGTCAATAAAAAAGAGAAATTATTTTTAGTAAATTTTTTTTAATTTTAAATTTAAATAACTACTTAATCAAATTTGCTAAAAATTTTTTTATTTTAATCTTGAATTATATAGCATTAAAATAAAAAAATTTTATTAAATTTAATAAAATAGTTGTTAAAATATTTGAACTTAAATTTAAGAAAACTTTTATTTAGAAAAAATTTCTCTTTTCTATTGACTTACCTCTATATATAAAATAAAAAATTAATATAAATAAATATGTATATAAGTTGGTTTATTTTTACTTTTTTAAAAAATATTACATCAACTTTTTCAACAAAATTAACTAAATGTTTTCACAAAAAGAACCAGTTTTTAATAAGTACAAGGCATATATATATTCATTTAGTAGAATTTGTAAAATATTTGCTATTTGTTTTATTTTTTTCAAGATTTTTCTATTTTTTAAAAAATTTCTTTTATTATAGTACTATATAATAATCTTGTTGAAGTAATTTAAGCTAATATAATTGTTAATTAATAATCTTTTTTACAAGAATATAATATAAATAATTAATTCATAGTTTATAAAATTTATATAGATAATTATACTTGATATGTTGCTAATAAGACTTAACTATTATTTTAGATTTGATATAATTGATACTTTTACTAGTTATTCAAGCTATAAATTCTATTTTTTCTTTAATTATTATTCTTTTTATAAATAAATCTATAATTTAAGTAAATTATTATTTTAACAAAACATTATAATCCTATTAATATATTCTTTTTAAATATTATTTGCATTAATAACAAATATTTCATTTGATTTTAATAATAATATATGTTAATTTAAATATTTTTCTATAATATTAAGTATACTTTTTTGCAAATTTAAAGAACAAAACACTTATATATTTGAATTATTTATAATTCTTCAATTAGAATTTATAGTTAAACATTTATTATAAGTAAGTTTTGAATTATATAAATAATAAATACTTGTTTTATTAAATGCTAATAATTGTTTTATTACACAATAAATATATTAAATATATAATTCTAAGAAAGCTTTGAGTTATACAAATTGTATTATACTAATTTTAGCAAAATCTTTATTTGTTAAAATAAAAAAAATTCTTTTAAATTTTGATTCTTTAAAGTTTATATCTATCTTATAAGAATTTTTATTATGTTTCAATATTTTTTTACTAAAATTAAAAAATAGCTAAGAAGAAAACTAGTATTATTGATTATACTTATTATAGTATACAATTTTTAATTTAAATTATTAGTGCTAAATATTATATTAATTTTAATTGCATTAAATTTATTATTTAATAAATAGTGTTATAGGATAGATTTCTATTATTGTATTATTTATTAGTTATAGTTGCTTTAATGCTTTAAACATTTTAATGCCTTAAGCTTGTAATACCAGTTGCATAGTCTCTTAGCATAACTAGTCACTTAGTCCCTTAGTGCAACTAGTCACTTAGTCCCTTAGTGAAACCAGTCGCTTAGTCCCTTAGTGCAACTGGTCACTTAGTCCCTTAGTCGCTTAGCCACTTAACTCACAGATATATAAACCTTCTAAATTCCCCCAAGTAGAAAAGCATTCAATTCAACAAGTTCTATAACCAACAGTCCCAAGAAACAGACAATTCTCCTTCTTCTATCCTATAATTTATACCCTAAATCCTTTAGGACAGGCGCCTAAGGATCACCCTTCTTGTAATAAATGACTTTAATTACAAACTACTATGTAATAATTATCGAACTGCCTCAGAGAAGGGTATAGTTTCTTGACAACGTCTAACAGTAACTATACTTCCCTCTTGGACACTGCATATACCCGTAAGGGATTCCCTGTGCCGTGTCGTCGTTATAGTGTGAAAATTAAGAAGGCTTTCATCTATAACAATAGTAAAACAAGGTTGTTAAAATTTCAATACCAGGTATAGGTAAATCAACATCTATAAGAATTTCTTAATTCTACTTATTTAATAAATATTTTGCTAATAATAAAAAATTAAAATTGCATTAATATAATTTGTAAGACTTAATAAACTGCTAATAATATATTTGTTAAATTATTATATAATTATAATCTTCAATTTGATTTTTTTAAATTTGATACCAAATTTTAAAAACTGAACAATTAATATTGTTTTAAATAAAATCTTAAGTTATTTAAGTTTTTCTTGTATATTGTGATCTAAAATATAATATTTTATATAAGTATTTAATTTTAATTATATTTAATTTAGAAAGAAGTTTAATTACTATTATTATTTTATAATTAAATCATTCTAAAAATGTTGGTGTATTTCTTTGTTTGTCTAATATAAAATGCTTTGCTTATTGCTTTCCAAGTTCAATTTAACAGTTACAATAATATATATAAAAAAGTTTTTTTTAATATTTATTTTGATAAACCTATTAATAATTATTACTTTTTATTCTAGCTAGAACCTAATTTGAAATAGTTAGCTATAGTATTTACAGGAAATAGAAAGTGTAATATCACATTGAATGCCAATTTGTAGCATAAATGTAGTTTAGAAATCTTTAATTTTAGAACTTATGATTCTATATATAAAAAGTTCTACTTGAACATTATACAAATAAAAATAAAAAAAAATTATTACTTTTTTTTTTTTTTTTTAACTTTTTGGCAGCCTTGCCAAAATCCTTTATTAAGAGAATTGCATACATAATTATACAAATATTAGCTTAATTTTTTGGTTTGACATCCCCTGCTACTGTATTAGTGCCCAGAGGCGACCTGCTGCACTAGAGTGAGTTAATGCTCACTACTAGAGGGCTATTCAGGCTAGCCTTTGAGGCCATTCCAGTAAGGCC